ATTTATTATTTTGTACATCCTTATTTTATGCAATTATTTGATTAAATGAAAATCGTCTTATTTTGCATGATTGAACAAGAAATGAGTGTGCTAAAGAGATTGTACCATACTTTGTAAATTATATTTAGATTTTAGCTAAAAAGTATAGTCAATTATTTTAATACTAGGTTTTAGATTGATCTATAAATTTAAAATTTAATTAATTAGCACAAGTTGTTTAGTGTTTTTGAAGAGCGTATCATCTTGTAGGATTCCCAAGAAATTCTTCGATTGCACGTATATTAGGGTAAAATTTTTGTCAGCATTAATTGTATATATAATATTAAAATATTATATATGATTATACATGTACTTTTGTTACTCAATAATAATTCGTATTATTTATTTCTAAATTTTAAAATATCCGTGCAACGCGGGATACGTTTACTAGTTATCAATAGAACTAGAACATTTTCAAAGTACACTTTTACCTTCCTCTTAGCATAAGACGCATTTTTTTTAATCTTAAAAGAAGAGTATACTTAAAATTAAAGAGGAACATATTTTTAAGGATACTTTTTATCTTGAAAGTTTGAGGTTATTTAATTAACGTGATACACACGTGTTTTGCATGTACACTTAACTATGTCTATGAAAAGCTTGAAGATTTTTTTGAAATATTGATTAAACCTTTTACTTTTTATTTAAAAGATTGTACGATAGAAAAAATCTTTTATTTATTCGTAATAGGTAAGAACTCTTAATACTTAGTACATTAAAATTGACTAAATTTTTGCTTCTTAAATCTTTCTTTAGTTGAAATAAATTGACTAAGTTTTTGATGGGTCAACTTCAGATGGTCATAACTTTTAGCACAAAAGTAATTATGTGTCCCATTACCTATTATATGATAGATAATTGAATCATCTTTCCAACGCCACCAAGTTTGTTAAAATCCGACCTCCGAGTAAAAAGTTATGCTCGTTTTAGTGAAGCCCTGTCGGGTAGACTCGACCGACGACTCCAATCAACGGACCGCCAATTGACCTACGGCCCGTTAGTCCAATCCGTTGGTCACTTCGATAGCAATTAAGTCAAGGGTCTTTTGGTCTTTTCCTATTTCATTGGACCCCTAAGATATGTCGTTTAGACCTTAAATCACGAGGTTTTAGTCAGTTTAAGACTAGAAACATAACTAGAACTTATCTAAGTCAAATCATTAATCAAAACTTAGAAAATTAGAATCAAGAGAGGAGTAAAAGGTCAAGAATCCTAGTTCAAGAACACAACAAGGTTCCATCAGTTTCATCCCTGAAATCGAAAAATTTCTCCGTGGAATTCGTCACCAGGTATGTGGGATTTTCACTAGTGGGTTCCTTTCGCCCATTAGGTCCCTAGAATTCAGTCAAATTATTGATTCCATGATTATAAACAGACCTAGGGTTTCTAGAATTACAACAGATCTTCATGAATTAGTTATTAACATGTTCCAAATCATATTATCAAGTTATTACATCAT